GGAAGGCCAGGCTGTGAGGAAACATCCCGGCAAGGCTGCCCCATTGCTGGTTCCTCCTGAAGTGGAGTCCAGGTGTGCACAGGAGAGGCTACAGGGTCACGGTGAAGGTGACAGCGAGCCACACCTAGGGAACCATGGTGGTCTGTGCACGCTCTGGTGATTGCCGCTTGAGCAATGTTCTGGTTTGAGGACATCGGCTACCTGGAAAGGTGAGAAGGGTGGGCCAATATGGCAGCCTAGTGCCAGGTGATTCTGTCACCTGCCTATTTCTGAACATGCTTCCTCCTGTTCTTACACCACACTCACTGCATGTCTCCTCTGTCCAGAGTGGCTGCACTGTAGGGTGCCCCCTCCAGGGATTCCCCAAAGGGTTCATTCATGCAATTAATAAGCCACAAGCTGTTTGTTGGTAATACAAGCAAGACCAAGCAATGCCAAGTACATCAGGATATATTATAATTTACCAAAAATGGACTAAAGCTCATTAGGCAAACACTATCAAAACTATAACATTGTGCTTCCCACAGTTAGTAAAGCAAAACCAAAGTACAATGTCACTTCTAACATGAACCGGCAAGTGCAGGAGGGAAAGCCTGTCATGGACCACGGAAGAATAATATATTCACTCCTAGGTATTTACCCAAAGGACACAGAAACATCAATTCCTAAGAGCACCTGCACCCCTATGTTTATAGCAGCACTGTTTACAATAGCTAAGCTTTGGAAACAACCCAAATGCCCAAAAATAGATGACTGGATCAAGAAGATGTGGTACATATACACCATGGAATATTACTTAGCATTCAAAAACGACAAACACCTGCCATTTGCAGCAACATGGAAGGTGTTGGAAGGCATCATGCTCAGCGAAATAAGCCAGAAAAAAAAAAAAAATACCGGATGGTCTCCCTCATAGCCGGAATCTAGAAAACCTAAATAAGGGACCAGGAAAATGAATCACTATAAGAAAGTGAAAAACAAAATCAACAAACAACTATGAACCAGACACACTCTATGGGGGGTAGGGGGCGGGGAGGGGAGGTATTGGGGTCAAAATAAGGGGGTTGCAATTGTATGGGGAATATAAAAATAACATTTTTATATATATATATACATATAAAATAATAAAATACTCAAAGTTGAACATGTTGCCTTAAGAACTGGAAAGCTTACATTTCAAGCGGGTGTTGGGTTAGAAATGCTCCCTAATGTCGCCAGAAGACTGACCAGGGAGAACTAGCACAAAGTCAGACACAGTCGGAATCACGGAACTTCCTGTCTAGTAAAGAGCCGCTGCGTCTCCTGTGGGTGTGTTAGGCAGGTGCACCAACGTCCTCTGGGCACCCGTGGAGCCCTGCGGGTGCAGGACAGAAGGCAGGTGGTAGGCTCTAGGCTGGACACCCCGGAGCTCTGCCCACTGCGTGGCCACCTCTCTCCCCGCAGGCCCGGCCCCAAGGCTCCCAGCTGGAAGCCCCTTCATCTTCCCAGGACTTTACCGAGGGCCCCCGTCACGTCCTTGTTGCGCAGGCTTGCCCTGGCATCCCGGCCAGGTGCGCCCCTAGCGTGTGTCCCAACGCGGTGCGCCCCAGGGGCGCCAGGAAGGAGCTGGCTGCTAGGAGCCGCCTGGGAAGGAAACGGGCTTGTCCCTCCGCGGGGAAGGCGTGGTGCCCCTCGCGGCTGCGGCGGCCTTGTCCACGCGGGCTCCGCCCTCGCGCCAACTCTGCCCTAGAGATCCGGAGGGATGAGGCGGGCCGGCCCGGCCTCCCCTGAGCCCCGCGGCCTCCCCTGAGCCCCGCGGCCGCCCTTCGCACAGTTGCGCTGCAGCCGGGCTGCGAGGGCCGAGACCCCCGGACAGGGGGCGACAGGACGATGCACAGGAGATGACAGCCCTTTCACTGTCATGGCTCAGGAAATAAACAGGAGCGCGCTGGGCAGGAGGAGGAACGACTGCACGACCAGAACGAGGAGCTCATGGACTGGCAGGAGACCCGCGGACACGGGACGGCAGCCCCTGCTCGTGGGCTGGAAGAAGGAACATCCCCAACACGCCACGTCACTGAGAGAAACAGACTCGTCGTGACCCCTGCCGAGAGTCCAGCGGCGACTTCCAGGAGCAAACCTCGGGACCGGGGCGCACCCAACCACGAAAGACCTGCTGGCCAGAGCCACCCCGCAGACAGAAGAGGCATCACTGCCCAGCTCCCAGGCCGCCAAAGATGGCCCAGCAGCGGCTGGCAGTGGGGTAGAAATGGACACATGGATGGGGAAGCAGATTTCAGGGCCCAGATGTAAGCCCACAGTGTGGACAGGTGGGCCACAGTGTCGGAGTCAAGAGCATGTAGGGAGGAAAGTCTCTTCCATCATCAGGCTGGGGACCGTCCAGCCACATGCAGGAGAAGGACATTGACCACCCCGACCTCACACACAAACTCGACTCTGGATGGACAACATGCGTGGCTGGAGGGTCTGAAGCCATAAAATGTGTAAAGAAAACACAGGCAAACACACTATGCCTCTGCTTTGGGAATGTTTGGGGACTCTGCTGCAACCACAAGGAAAATAAAAGCTAAAAAAAGCAAACAATGCTGTATGCAAGGCCGCACAGCAATAGAAGCTTCCATTGAAACAAAGAGATGGCCACAGAGTGGGAGGAAGGTGCTTCACATCACTCATCTGAAAGCCAAGCTCTCTACAAAGACTGATACAACCCAATAAAAAGAAAGCAAACAGCCTAATTAAAAAGTGGACACCAGATCTAAATAGATACTTTTCTTGACATGCAGATGTCAATGGGCACACAAAACCACCCATGCTGCATCCCATCAGGCACACGCAGATGACACCGGGAGTGCCCACCTCACACCTGGGCGAATGCCCGGATTCCCAGGGCCAGAGACAAAATGTTGTTGGCAAGAATGTGGACAAAAAAGGAAACTTCTCACCCCATGGCGGTAATATAACCTGGCCCAGCCCCTGTGGAAAGCAGCACAAAGTCGCTCAAGGTAACACAAGTGAGTCTATCACTTGGTTCAGCAACTCCACTCCTCCGTATCTTCCTGAGGAGCACAGCACTGCTCAGACGGACGTGTGCTCTCATGGTCATCCATGGTCATCCGGCCTGTGTCCAGTAGCCGAGTTTTGGAACCACGTAAGTGTCTAACAACAGACGAGTGGATGAAGAAAAAGTGGCCGAGATACACAGTGAAACACCACGAAACTCTAAGATGTCTTGCCATGTGTGACAACATGCATGGAGCTGGAGGGGGCTGCTAAGCATTATTACTTACAGATGGAGAAAGACGAAAACTGGACCATTTCACTCCATCACTTGTGGCTTACGGAGAAAGAAAACAAAGGAACAGAGAAAACTAAACCAAACAAGCACGAGAACTCTAACTGTAAACTGAGGTTTTCAGACGGGGAGGGGAGGGGAGGGGAGGGGCCAACAAAAGAAAAGGGCCTCCGTGGGCCAGGGAGGAGGACCATGGGTGTTCTGGTGCTGGGTGTGGCCACACACATCTGAAGATGTTCGAACCCGCAGATCTCAATCTCACACAGTTGTGTAAGCCAACATAAGTGCAAAAAAATACAATATAAAATAAATGAAAACAGAACGATAAAATATTTATTTATTTATTTTTTTTCTTTTCAATTTTGTTTTTTGTTTTTTTTTAATTAATAAATTTTAATTTTATATTCCTCATACAATTGCAATCCCCCCATTCTGACCCCAATCCCTCCCCTCCCGCCCCCCACCCCCCAAAAAGTGTCTCTGGTTCATAGTTTTTGTTGATTTTGATTTTCACTTTCTTATAGTTATTCATTTTCCTGGTCCCTTATTTAAGTATTCTAGATTCCTGCTATGAGTGAGACCATCCGGTATTTTTCTTTTTCTTTTTGGCTTATTTCACTGAGCATGATCCCTTCCAGCGCCATCCATGTTGCTGCAAATTGCATGTGTTTATCTTTTTTGAATGCTGAGTAATATTCCATGGTATATATGTACCACATCTTCATGATCCAGTCATCTATTTTTGGGCATTTGGGCTGTTTCCAAAGCTTAGCTATTGTAAATAGTGCTGCTATAAACATAGGGGTGCAGGTGTTCTTTGGAATTGATGTTTCTGTGACAGCAAAATAGAACACTAGTATTCCAAAGTACATTGTCAAAAAGAATATTATTTGAATTATCACTAGTAACTGTGAAAATCAGCACATGGATTTGGAAGAAAAATTACTCATAAAAATTAGTTATGAATAAATAAAGAGTCCATTATTTGTTGCGTAAATTGAGTTTTCTGATTACACTAATTAAACTGCATGAAGAAAATGACAAACACAAAGTTTAAATGCCCAGCTCAAAGCAGTCAGAGAACCAGAGGACTGATTTTTTTTTTAAATCCATCTTATACTTGAAGCAAAGATTTCTGTACCAAAATAATAACTATCTGGTCTTGAAAGTGAATGTGAGTACACAATTAATTTGCTCCATTATTAAGTCTCACAAACAATTAGAAGACTGACTGGAAATAGAAATCAGAATTGAAATGTCTACTTAGATGATATAATCTGAATGTTTGGAGCAGTAAAACCCCCTGACCTTTCCTTGCGAGCAAAGAAACAATTACAATTACATCGGTAGAAATGATTCAAGGTGTCAAGATCCTCCTTTAAATAGCTTTGCATTTACAAAAAAAGGGACAATTATAATTATGTTGGGATAAAAACTCTATTTCATATGCTGCCTGAATAACCAAGTTCCTTAGTTATGTCATCAATGACTATCAGGGCATACATGATTGAATGTACAAAGAATGACCCTATGATACTTATGATTAGGTGGAAGAGTATATGTTTCACTGTGTTCTCTATGTCTCAAAATATAATTTCTATAGTTAAATGTAGACAAATGTGTCCTTATTAATATATGCTTTATTCCATTTTAGAGTAAATTTTGTCCATTGCAGATTTGCATTGGGTGAGCAAACACATCACATTCCTCACACTCTGAAAACTTTCCTAAACACTCTAGTGACGTCCTTGTTCCGCAGGCTGTAGATGAGGGGGTTGAGCATGGGTGAAATGATGGTGTAGATCACAGAGGCCACTTCTTCCTGCTCGGGGGAGTGGTAGGACTTTGGCATAAGGTATGTGAAGATAGCAGACCCATAGAAGAGCAACACCACAATCATGTGAGAGGAGAAAGTAGCCAAGGTTTTCATGAGAGCCTGGCCTGATCCCATGCCCAGAACAGTGACGAGTATCCTTCCATAGGAGCACAGAATAGCTGAGACGGGAGGGTTAAAAAAATCACAGCACACACAAAAACAATCTTTTCATATAGGGAAGTGTCAGCACAGGCCACTTTCAGAAGCGCTGGGATCTCACAGAAGAAATGATGGATTTCCCTGGAGGCACAGTAAGGGAGTGTCAGAGTATAGACCACACAGAACAAGGAATTGATCAGAGCACCCAACCAGGCCACAAGTATTAGGAGCACACAGACCTTGGGGCGCATGAGGATGGGGTAGCATAGAGGGTGGCAGATGGCCACGTAGCGGTCATAAGTCATGACCGCCAGCAGCAGGAACTCTGAGCCAGCAAGGAGATAGAAGAGGAACATCTGGAAGCTACACCCAACGAAGGAGATGTGGTGGTCCCCAGACAGAAAGATCAGGGCCATTGTAGGGACAAACGTGGAGATATAGAGGAGATCCATGATGGACAGCTGGCTGAGCAGAAAGTACATGGGGGTGTGGAGAAGAGAGTCGGTACAGATGAGGATGATTATTATCATGTTGCCCAACAGGGCCACCAGGAAATCAAGCAGGGTGAGTGTGAAGAGGACCCAGGGCACTGGGGTGCTGTGGAACACATCCAGGAGGACAAAATCACTGCCTGAGGTCTGGTTGCTCATGCTCATGTTCCAAATTTGTAACTTTGGAGAGTTTCAAAAGCATGATATTCATATCTATAAAAAATTTTACAAAATAAAGTCATAATCACTTTTTAACAACTCAAGCCCTTGTACCTTGGTACCTCTCATCTTTTAATTTTAGTAAATAAATATATTTTTCATCCCCAAGACTTTACTAAGGAATATAAAAGACCGCCAAGAAAATGTGTCCCATTAGTGTAAGGCCATGTTTTTGTTTATGTTAAATATATAGTTTAAAAAATTTTATTATAAATTGGAATTCTAGAAATTGAAATTCTCAGGTAGTAATACTCAACTTCCACTTTATATAATAGTCTGTAAAACTAGACATGTATTCATAAGTTAGCAGTACAATTTTATCTGCATAAGTATTTTCTAACAACGTTATCAATAATTTTTATAGAACAAGTATGGAAAATCTGGAGAAAATAATTCAGAGTCAAAAAAAAAACTGTCATAACTATAATCAGTTATCTTTTCTAGAATTACTTCTTGAAATCTCACATTGGCAAAAAGAACAAAATAGGTTTTCAAAAAGCTATTATAAAAAATGCATTTAAATAAGTGTTATTCCTTAAAGCTGCATGTTTCTCTTTTAATAGACCCAGTGAAATAAGCCCACTCATGGCAGGAGAACTGTGGCATCTAGTCGCTGTGCAGCCCCTGTTGCACATGGCCACATGCTGACTCCGGACAGGACGAGGCATATAACCCTGGCTGGCAGAGCAGACTGCATGCTGGACATGCACTTCTGCCGGGGAATAAAGGGGAGTCATTGCCCTCAGGACGGGGTGCAGCAGCAGCATCAGGGCTAGAAAATCCCCAAGGATTTTCTTTCTTTTCTTTTTTTTCCTTTTCTATCCTTCTTGGTACTGGTCCAAAGAGCACTTAAAGTAACTTCTGAAGTGGCAGGACAGTAGGAAGCACACTTTCATGGCATTATTTTGAGAATGATTGTGAAATGCTGGTATGTTTTCATTACCTCTCAAGTTACACTTTCTCTTTGAGGGGATGCATAATGAAACTTTAATTGTCAGTAGTAATGAGACTTAATTTATAAAACATACCTTAAATATATTAGAACATGTTAGTGGTTTAATGAGGAAAATAGTAAAAGTAGCTAATGCAGGTGTAGAAAATTCTGTTCAAGAATGTTGGAAGCACTTTCTAATGTGCCACAACAGTGAATTCACAACATTCCAAGACAGTGACAGGAAAATCTGTGGTCCTTACCTCAGTACTCAGCACCTGGAGAGACGTGAAATGGAGGCCACAGGATCTGGAATGAAGGGTTGAGCTCACGGGGGAATCGATGCATAAACTCCCTACAATCCCAACATGCACGTATACAAAATAAGAATTTTACATTAGTCCTTATTGCTAAGAGGACATAGCACTTGTTTCTTAGCTTCCATCGAGAGCTAAAGAATGAGTCATGGTCATGGGTTAAGTTTGTGCTCATTTATTGAAATAAGTCCCAGCAGGAATATAACATTCCACCTTCTAAATACCTTTCAAAAACCACCTGACAGATAGTTCCTGTATGTTTACTAATTATTGATATGAATGCCCTTAATCCAAAATGGTACAGCATAATTGAATAAAAATACATTAGTATTTTGACGTTTATTTAACTCATGATGCTCAAAGACAGAAAATAAGAATTAAAAACTATACATAGAGTCCCACAGCCTCCTAAAGACCTGTGAGTAACAACTTGGAGCCACTTTTACCAATTGCAACCAAAAAAAGCTAACATTTTTTTTTTTTTTACTCAGGAACATGAATCAACTAGCAGGATGTTTGAGTATATACTGGGGGAAGTAAACAAAAGCATAGATATCAGATATCATTGCAATGATTTCACCAGAGATTCATGCTCATTTTCTTTTCAAAAAGAGCCTCAAGGAAGGCTTTGCTTATGTGAGATAGCACCTCTGGAATAGTTCAACTCCTAACGTACCTTTTGTACAGAACTGACTACTGCCCTCAACCCTGGAATTAGGAAGCTATAGCTCTTAGGAAAAATAATGAAACAAAATGATTGATCTGGGCATCAGAATTTGCCTTCTCATATAATATTAAATTATGTAATGTAACTGCCAGCAGCCCCCAGCTATAGGTCTTGTTCACAACCAATAGAATGTATCAGCAATACTATGAAGATGTGTAGCTAGCATTAAACAAATGGAGTTGCTTAGGTTTTTCATTATAAAAGCTAGGTTACAGCTTCCTATGTTAAGTAGTTAAGTGTTCACCTCTTAAACATATTTCCTGAGAAAATATTCTACTTACTACTAGGGAAATATCAATCCTGCTTATAAAGTGTTGTTGATAAATGTCTAATGTCTCCCAGTATCAGAAACACAGATTGCCTAAGAGAAGGGGTTAAATAGCTTCACCTTGTTGCTTCAATAGACTTTAGGCTATTTACTGTTCCATGGGAAGTCCTCAGAGGGAAGGTCCCCCATGGAAAGGTGCACTAATTATCTCCCTGTCCTCCATGACCCCAAGGACAGCCTGCAGCCATCTCACAAGCCTGTGCTTCTCTAATGAGAGAAAATGCTTGTCAAGAGATGTGAGCTCAAAAGGCTGAGTAAATATTAACATCAAAGTTTACCTTTTAAGCTACTGCTTGCAAAATAAGAAATTTATCCAAATGCAAAGGAATAGAGAAAGAAAAAAATCAGAGAGGAACTACAAAGACAGTAAGAAAACAACAAACAAATGGAAATAAGTATATACCTTCAACAATCACTTTAAATGTAAATGGTAAATTATACTTTCAAAAGATATGGAGTGGCTGAATGATAAGAGACAAGACATCTACTTGCTGCCTACAAGAGAAATATTTCAGGTGTAGGGAGGCAGAGACAGAAACAGAGACTGAAAGGGAAGGAGTGGGGAATGATATTCCATGCTATTGCAAATGATCAAAATGTTGGTAGAGCTAAACTCATACCAAAAACATGGATACTGAAACTAAGGCCATAAAAAGACAAAGGAAAACAATGTATATTGATATATAGGGCTGAACCAACAAGAATATATAATGTTTTAATATATTTTCACCCTGCAAAACACAACCAACATATATAAGGCATATATTAACAAACCTAAATACAAAATGACAATACAATAATTTGGGCAATGTTAGTAACCCAATTTCATCATGGGTTCATCCACACAAAAAAATAAGGAAATACTGGCCTTAAATGGTACATTAGATCACACAGACTTAAAAAGAAACCTAGAACATAACAAGAAAAATATTAAATAATTACAATTGCAATCATATCTATCATCATTTTCAACTACAACTGCATGAAACATGAAATTGAGTACAAGCAGAAAATTAAAAAATCACAAAACTTAAAGATCAAAGTAGATATGTGAACAACTATTGAGTTATGTCAAAAATCAAAGGCAAAATTATACACACAGATGTGCAGATAAAAACAAAATGGAAATACAACATACCAAAATATATATAGACTGCAGCAAAGTTGTCTCTAAGAGAAAATTAGAGCAACACAGGCCTATATCAAAAACCAACAAAAAAATCTCAAAAACATCAAGGAACTAGAAAAAGCACAAGCAACATGCAAAGTGAATAAAATATTGGAAATAAATATCAAGTAGCAATAATTGGAACAGATTGAAATAATAATAGAAAAGTTAAATGAAATTAAGAACAGCGTCTTTGAAATCAAAACTGACAAAACTTTGGCTAGAATCAAGAAAAAGAGAGGGCTTAAATAAATAAAATAAAAAATTGGAAGTTAAAAAGAATACTTGAGAAACACAAAGATCTATAAGATATTATAAGAACACATAGATGACAACAAGATGGACAATCTAGATGAAATAGATTTATTCTTAGAATCATAAAATATCTCATGACTGAATAGTGAAGACACAGAATATCTAAATAGACCCATTTTAGTAAGGATATTGAGGTTGTAATCAAAAACCTTCCTCCAAATAATATCCAACTGCTTCACTGGTAAATGATACCAAAGATTTAATACATATCCTCCTCAAATGTTTCAAAAGCTTTAAGAAGGGAACATGTCCATGGTCATATTTCTATGTAAGTACTACCCTGAAAAAAAAATACAGGTCAATAATCCTGATAAACATAGATTCAAAAATCCTCAAAATATTAGTAAATGCAACTCACAATGATATAAAAGGCTTATAGAGGGGCGGAGCAACAAGGCGGCGAGGAGACGCTGCGAGTAAGATCTCCCATTAAAAAAAGTTAATAGGGAGGAAAAGCGGCAGGTCCCAGTGAGAACTGGGACAGGGAAGATAAACGGGTGACTCCAGCAAACTGCCTGAAGAAGAAAGTTGCCATAAAAGAGGACCAGAAGGGAGGAAAGCGCAGAACCCTGCTCCCCTCCCCCGCCCACAGAGTGGGCACTCTCCGACCCGCAGAGAGGAGGAAAACAACAAACTAAAACGACCAACAAGAACAAACTATGCAGCAAGCGGGACTGTGAGTTGAAAGGAACTATTGCAGCCACCAAACCCTGTGAACAGGAGCTGTGGAAAATTCTACAGGATTCGCCGCGGAGGTGAGCTCCAGGCGCCATTAAAGAGAGACCCCGCCCCCGGGGAGGAGGCCAGCACCAGCACACAGCCCCTGGCTGCCCGGTAAGCTTGCGCGGAAAAGCGGCACGCTGGAAAAGCAGACACGGATCGGGATCGGGATTGCGCGAAACAGCAGCGCAGATGGGAAACGGGATCGCATGGAAAAGCAGTGCGGTTGAAAAAGCAGTGCGGTTGAAAAGCAAACGCTGATCCGGATCGGATCACAGCTGCCCAGGTCCCCGCGCCTGCGACCTAGGCTTGTGGGGAGACGCACGGAGGCCCTCACTGTGTGAGAAGGAACCAGGCGCCCAGGCACGGGAGCGGGATTCAAAAGGTGCCATTCCTGCACCACTGAACTGGGCTACAGCCTGCGTCCTGGAACTGAGGGC